GTATAAGTTCTGCAGTTGAGATATTTTCAACTACTTGTATAGTAAAGTTTTTCAGTATCTGCCCGAAATAACTTTGTCTGTGAGTCCTTAAAGACCGCTCAGTTATAAAAATTTCTGTCTCTCCTTTACTAAACCAAAAACTTCGAAGCTGAAGTTTTTAATGAAGTCCACTCGAAATTTTTATACCTGTACACCTTTCCTCTACCTCATTTATGCTTTAAAAAAAAATGCGGTTTATTTGCAAAGCACTTAAGTAATACGATATTGGAGCCACACCCGCAGTGCCACTAATGAGCTATAAAAGTTCTGGTGCAAATGGACAAACGAAAGCGACAGCGCAAAACAAAATGCAAGCAAGCATCTAAAGAATTAAATAAAAATTAATAAAAATAAATAAAAGCACAAAAAAACGTTCACTTGGGTTGCACCAAAGCTAGAATACACTTCACAAATAACAAAGTTTTCATACATGAACTTGATTTAGATCTGTCAGTTCATATATATATATATATATATATATGCTATACTGGACCGAACTGGAAAATTTCTTCGCAGAATACATCATTGCCGTAAGAAATAACCCATGCCAAATTTCGTAAAAATATCTCCACCAAAATGTAAATTTCAGGTAGATATCTCAAAAACTGAGGAACCAGTTTGTGCATATATAGACGGACATGGTAAAATCGACTCAGTTCATCATGCTATTATCATATAAATATATGATCACGTGTATATTTTATAAGGTCTCGACGTTTCCTGCTGGGTATTATAAGCTTCGTGGCAAACTTAACATATCCTGTTCAGGGTATAAATAGAATTAAATATAAACCACATTGAATAACTTAAAATGTAGATAAAGCATTGGCTGCTTCACGACCTAAAATATTGGTCAATGTTAATTGAATGCTGTTTGTTGGCTGTTGCGCATGCATTTGGTGGTGTGGGTTGCAAATTATTTCATTTCATTTCGTTAAATAATTATTTATTTTTCCTTACTACAAACATAACATATGTATTTTTGGCCTTTGGCTGGAGCAATTCGAATTGTTCCGTATTTGTTGTTGTTGTTGTTGAAATAAAACTACCATACACAAAAGCGGTAATGTTTATGTATTTATGACCTTGTATTCTGTATTAATTTAAGTCTAAAGCTTTTTGTATGTGTGTGTGTGTGTTTATGACACAAGCATTAATTAGGCGCTCCGCTAAGCGTGTAAATCATATTTATGCACATAATTATGAGCATAATAAATATAGAGCAATGCTATGCTGCTGCTGTTATGGCACATCAAAAATCAGTTGCCAATAAAGTCGTGTTAATAAGTTGGAACGAAAGTAGTAGCAAAGGTAGATAATGTGCAAGGCGAGTGATTGCCAGTTGCCGCAGGAATTATCATTCTTCCATATTTCTTCTGCGAAGAATTTTAACACTGATAACTATATATATGTATACCCTTCAATAACAGATATCGATAGAGAATAATTGTTTGAGAGTTACGACATACATTTCTAAGGGATTAGGGGTGGTAAAAGTTTTCAAAAAAACGATCGTTTTTTTCCTTAAATTACAATATCTCTGACATTTTGAAGTAAATCTGCCAAATACCTTTCGAGTTATTCGATAATCAGCAAAGGGTTCTCGTATGCTCTAGAACGTTCGTGTAAAACTTTATATGCATTTTTCTCAAAACTATGTTTCCTGAACTGGTGACCATTGGAACTTGAAAATCCCGCGCACTCCCCATATAACGGTTTCGATTAAAACTACTAAAAGTGCGATTACTCATTAAACGAACACGTCAGATACTTTAAATTTTACTCGTAGGATGGTACAATTAAGGTTTATCGGAGCTAAGAATAAAATTAGACAATTAACGTGGTACCGTCGAGCTTTAAGTGAAATCTCATATCTAAAGATCTACTTGACGGATTTCAACCAAATTCAGAGTATTGATTTCTTTCGACATTCCCATATCACAGTGGGAAAACGCCTACTTCTTATATTATATTATAGAAAAAAAAACACCCGATATAACACTTTAATCTGATTTTTTCACATTCTAGTATACAAATAAAGCACCAATTAATATAATGCTACAAAACTTTACACGAATAGTGCCTTTAGAGTATGCCACTCTGTTGCCAAAAGTTGTCCAAATTGTACAAAACTGTTCAAGCCTCGAGGTACCTAATTCCGAACTTCCGGGTGACTTTAAACCGTATATATCGGCCAAATTTTAATTTATCTCAATGAAAATGAGAGTAGGTATTTTACTCCTAACGATGTATCTTTTAACCTAAAATGGATAAATTGGGTAAAACTTGACCCAACCCCAATATATCTAATATCAAGATTTTCGATCATCCGGCTGACTTTACTCCATAAGATTGGTGATGGTATGTAAGGTACCTGAATAAAACCCTGGGAACTTTTTAGCAGTCTGCGGCATGCTAGTAGTAAGTAGTATTGGCAAAAATAGACAAAATCGGGTAAATACTAACCCAACTCCCATATGCTGCATATAATGATTTTCGTTTTTTTAACAAATTGGTAAATTGATTAGTCTTAATAACACCTTTGTTGGAAGGTACAAATTTTGTCGCAACAGCAGAAAAATAATTAATTTTGAATTTTCTTGTAGTAAAATCAGTACAGGATATACATATCAGAAAGGAGTCAGTTGATAAACTAAATATGTGTAATATTTGCTCTTGCCAACTTTTAAGGGAAATAATTATAAATTCGTAAACCTCGAAAAAAAATTTAAACCTTTTAAACGTACCGTTGAATTTTGGGCTGGTGAATTTAAATGCGGTCGTATTAGGCTTGAAGAAGATCCCCACGAAGGGCGACCAAAAACCGAAACCACCCCAGAAATCATTGTGCAAGTTTCTAATATTGTTAGTGAAAATACTTGTAAAAGCTGTCAGCAAGTAGAAGAGGAGGAGACATTTTTTATGCGATTGCGCAGCACTATATAGGAAAAGAATCGCAGCCATCGGTCGTGGGTTTCTTGACGACGTCTCGGAGGTTGCACGGATAAAACTTGTCTCACTGATGAAGTTCATCAGAAGTACGGGGTGGTTTAGAGAGGAGCCAATAGAGTGAGGGAACCACAGTCCCGGTGGTATCACAATGGGTTTCCTAAAGGCCTAGGTGGGTCAAAAGACAGCTACCTTACCTATCTAGCTAGTGAAGATCCAAGTTTGACTAAGGGTGAAATTGCTAACGCCATAGACATCTCAGACGAACGAGTGCTTCATATTTTACATGGAGAATTACATATGAAAAAGCTCTTTGGAAAGTTTGTGTCGCACACTTTAACAATTCAACAAAAACTGGATCGAAATCAAATTCATCAGTATAATTTGGATGAGACTTGGATCTACCACTATGATCTTAAATTGAAACAAGAACGTTTACAGTGGACTGAAGCTGGTTGTTCAGCCCCAAAGCAGGTGAAGTCACAACGATCAGCAAACAGGGTTACGGCATCAGTTTATTGGGATGCAAAAGGAATTTTGTTGATTGATTATCTGCACAAAAATAAAACAATCAACTCTGGATATTATTGCACCCTTTTGGACCAGCTGGAAATATAAATTTTCATCAAGACAAAACATTGCGCACAAAAGTATTTTCACAATGACAAAATTCCCAAAAAATTGTTCAGATGGCACTAATATTGCATATAGCTGCCATATACGATCAAAATCCATATAAAGTTCATTTTATAGTTCAGTTTTTCGAAACATAATACATATATTTAGAAATGTATTTAGTATTTGGAACTGTGGAACCATTATATTATGACTTTCTTAAAAATTGTAAACAGAAAATTATTACAAACTGTTAATTGACAAAAATTCTGGGTGTATTCCAAAAAAATATATGAATATTTGTTTTTAGGAAAACAGCGTTGTTTTAAGATTATTTCCTAATTTATATTTATATTTGTTTTATAAAAAAGTAATGATTATTAATTAAAAATAATTTTAAAAAATGTATATTGAAAAAAATAGCAGACAATTACTCTTACTAGTCTCAAATTGTTGGAAATATTTGCTTTCAATAAATTTTTAAACATTTTAATTCGAATTATCAAAGCTTGTTTATAAATTTTTTCGACTTCCTATAATTTTGTATTGTATGAATGAACTATATAAGCAACGTTGTTATTTATATTAAATGCTGTGTAACAATAGTAACCAGTCAGTAATAGAAACTACTTGTAAATTGAACTTCTTTAGAATGATGTGTGAATAATAATAATATTTTATTTAAATAAAATCTTTTAACAAAATTTAAAGTTTTTTTAAATACGATGTCTTCTTTAATTTGTTTCTGCGACCAGAATTTTTAGCAATTAATTGGCAGTTTGCGCAACAAAATTTAATTGACTTTAATGTCTCCTTTTTACATACAGATTATAATATTTTCCCAAATTGAATGCCCATGCAAATATGTAAATATGCATATGTACATACATATGTATGTGTGTGTGTGTATTTTAGCACTAAATAACTTTGACGTTCATATTTTATAGAAATAACTCACAGCAAAGTTATGCATTAATTTTTGTTATTTAAAGAAAGAATTACTTCAATATTATTTTAGATTAAAATTTTTAGTTGTTATCCTTTATAATCCGTTGGCAAATATTTTTGCTGCAACAAGCCAGCAGCAGCCGCAACAAAAGCAAAAGCACAAAAGTTCTTTGACACAAAAAAGAAGCAAAAAAAAACCTAATAACAAACAAAAACAACAACGCATTGAAAGCACAAAATCAACATTCTCAACAACAACAATTGTTGTTGCATAAGTTTTTGCAGATATTTGTTGTTGTTATAGCCGTAGTTGTTTTTATTTGCGCTGTTGCTGCTACTGCTGCTGCATTGCTGGCATAGCAGCAGCTCTATGGTCTAGCAAAATTCAATGCCGGGCAGGAGGCGCCTGATACGGGGTGCGTGCATAAGGCTTGCACAGCACAACTCACCTGTTGCAGCGTTGGACGCACGGAATGCTCTTGCACTTAGCTGAGTTATTTGCTGTTGATGATTTTATGTTATTTTTTATTTTGTTTGTTGTTGCTGTTTTCTGAGGAAAGCACTTTGGAATTTGTCTTTCGCTTCAAGTTTAGCGTTATTTACTTTATTTGATTCTAGATATTATACAAAATTATTGTTGTTGTAGCTATTATTTTTTATTTTTTCTTCTACTTGAAGTGAGCTGTGTTGTTGTAGCGCAACAAGGATAACGAATTGCTTTGCGTAAATACACAGCGCAGAGAATCTTTAGTTTTCGGCACTCTGGTGAATTCGTAAGTCACTGCGTCGAAGCTTTCGACTTCGTTATTGTTGTTGTTTGTTTTCTTAGCACAGCGGCTAATTAAAATGTGTAAAAAGGTTCTCAGGAAAAATTATTTCCTTTCCGTTTTGTTTGAGCTTAATTTCGTTGCTCCTTATTTTTCACAAAAAAAAAAAACAATTTCAAAATAATTAAATTTTTAGATTTTTGTTGTAGTAAAAAAATGCACTAAAAACTCACTTTTGTTCAACACTGTCAACAATTAACTATGAGTTCGTTTGCTAAGTTGCAAGTATGCTTTAGAGTATAATATCCTTGCGTTTGGGTCAACGGTCACTCAGTTACCACTTGCGGATGCCGCATTTTCCGTAAACAAGTACCAAACGCTTTCAGCGAATAAGACAAACTGATTCGTGTGCTTCGTTTGGCTTAAAAGACTTTTAACCACATTAAAGTTGTTTCGTAGATATGCAACGGACCAAGACGATGGCGCCGACGTCGCCAGCAACAAACAAAACGGCCGCAAGACGGCAAAGACGATCGTATGGTGGCAGCCCGCAATAACAACAACAACGCTAGTTTTGACTCTGCAAGACAATATCTTTTACAGCTAGCAAGTCAGGTTAGTAAGTGGTTATATGTAGCGCCAAAATAAGCGATAAAAAATGTAACTAAAAATCAAAGCCACAGCTCGTACGAAAGTACAAAATAGTCATATAAAAGAAGAGCAAATGCCAAGCAAAAAGAATGGAAAGCGATCAAGTGAGACCAGAAAGTGCAGCCACTGAAGAGTTTATGTGTCTTCAGTGGTAATAACCAAATGACCACAAAAGAACTGCGAGCAAACTTTACCAGCTGTCACACTTAAGTGGAGTACCAAACACGCTTATCAGCCTAGAGAAAAAAAGCAGCGCGAGAGAGAGTAAAACACAAAGAGCATATCAACTCAAAGTGGGCTTGTGAGGCGGCCAAGAATGGTCAAGATGCTTAAGAAACCGGCAAAAATAATGACAATGCCTAAAACAAAAACTTGCAGCTCAAAGAGTGGCACCGCAAGAGCGCATAGAAGCAAGACTTTTGGTGAAAGAGAGCATTAAGGTGTGATTGAGCCACGATCATGCCTAATTTTACTGTTAGCACGTTTCAGTGCCATTTTCTTGAGTTAAAATAACCGGTTTTGTGTTTGTTGTGAGTGAATTGCAAAATGTGTAGCTTGAGTGAGTCGAAATGGTTGTAAATATTACTCCAACTTGTCTGCAAGTTAAACATTTTTAAATATAGGTGTTAAACGCAAACAAATTGCAAATTACATATGTATTTAATTAAATGATTTGCACTAATAATCCTTATTTTTTGGATTTTTGCGAATCATTGGATTATTCGATAGATTAGTGGTTATGGGCTTTTCGCTTAACATATATAGAAATAACGGATGGCACAAAGAGTTTTGCGTTTTATAAGCCCTCATAACTTCAAAGCTTAATGAAAAATTTAGTTTGAAGGAATGGATCGCAGTTGCTAATTTCGAAACGAATTTATAATAAATTATTTCATTTATTATTAGCTTTATTTTAGATCATAGGCTTCTCAAGCAACCCTTTGAAAGACGTTGGTTTATAAAACTGCTGTCATTTACACCCAAAAATAAATCGAAGGATTTTAAGAATCTTAGTCTAAGTAAACTTTCAATTAGTAGCTAGATCACTAACCAATCGCAAGATAAATAAATATGCTGAGCTGATAAAATTTGGTAAAGTATGAAAGGCTTGTAGTCAAAACTTAAGTATAAACAAGAAAAAACGTGAACTTCAGGTAAACAAAGCTGGAGTACCCTTCAGTTTGTATACACTATAATGGTCCGATATGAACATACAATTTTGTGATGACATCGTGCCAAATAAAGTGAGCATATTCTTGGGGTAAAAGGACGTGTGTGTATTTCATATCGTTATTTTAAAAACTGAGGGACTATTTCGTGTAAGTACAAACAGCTCGTCACGCTGATTATAACGAGTGATCCAAGTAGAGGTACTAGTGGACCGAATAGATCACGTCCAGCATGCAGTGAATAAAATATAGCGGCCGTAGCTGAGAGTCTACACGAAGAAGGTGGAAAGCCGATTCGGCGCCATTCGCGGCAACTCAGACTGACGTATAAATCGACTTGGCACATTTTACATCGAGATCTTAAATTGAAAGTACATAATACAGCTTGTGCAAGAACTGAAGCCGTTTGATCTTCCCAAGCGACATTGTTCTGAGACGTAGCCATGGCCAACGTGTGAAAGAGATAATCTTCAAAAAATAAATGTCAAAGAAAGTTCTTTGGAATGATAATTCCCCGTTAAATTTAAATTTTCTGGGTGTTTTCTATAAGGGTGAGGAGTCCCGGTGTTTCCTTTTGGTTGTTACAAACTCCGCGGCAATCTTAATATACCCTGTTCACGGTATAATAATTATAACTAAAATAAACCGCTGGTATTTATACTTGTATGTGTAACTTTTGGGCTTATGTATAGCGGGCTTTTAAAATATACATATGTACAATAGGTAGATACGTTATTATGACGCACTGCTTAAAAAATATGTATCTCGAAGAACAACAAATAATCAAATTCTAAGTTCGGAGCTGCGAATATAAATATGTATATCTCACAATTTGTAAGAACCAAAGGCGATAAAATATTCAGGAATTATTTAGATATGGTATAAAGTCAACTGGTATTAAGAGTGTTTAGGGCTAGGGGAAGTATTGTATTTAACCGATTTTATCCATTTTGATGTAATTATGATATCACTTCGTATATGGAAAAATATGTTCGAAATAAATATTGGTCTATTATTCGGGGCTTGAAAATTATAAATATATTTAGTTATTGGAAATTATTAGATGCGACTTTGAACATTTTAGAGACAGTAATTTTACGATTTCGATATTTTAATTGGTTTCATTTTGATATTGTAGAAAGTAAGAATCTGATGAAGTTTAATAAAAGGCACGGCCATTATCAAGGAAGTTTGCTGCGTCAAAGGGTCTTCCAAATAATCTACAAACCGTTGTTTTCGGTTATTTATTTTTTTTTAAGTAATAAAAACCCATTCGTTTACAGTGTAGGTCGCATGAACGCTTAGCGCAAGCCTAAAATTCCCAGGGTTTTAAATTCTAGCTTGCCGACTTCGTTTGATTTAGATCATGAGGTGTCTTAGAAAATAAAGCGTCTTAACCTTAAAGACTGGGTATTCACAAAGATAATGTTCTGAGCTTTCATCATCCTCCCAGCCTGGTCTACATCTTGCAGATTCCACTTTACCAATAGTAATTTAATAAAGAACCATAATATCTAAAAAGTGTCCACGCCGACAAGCTACAATTTCATTAAGTAATTTGCTTGCATCATCAAAAGACTTGAATACTTCTTCATACATCAAACAAACATGAAACAGATTGCAACATTGGCGCTCATCGTTATTTAATCACACAATTCAGTTAATTAATCATAACATAATCATTACGAACGCATCTAAGTTTGTAGATGGCATATGTGCTTCTTCTTCTTTTTGCATACGTTCATTGGAATCGGTTACTTTTTCCAATTAACGACACGACAAGCAGACAGTAAACATTAACTAATTGCTTAATTACGAACACCAATGCACGCACAACACTCCACCGATGACACCAGAACACACACCCGAAAAAAAATCAAAAACAACAAAAGCAATTGCTGAACACTCAGTAAATGACTTCGCAGGTCCAATGGCCAACGGTGACATTTATTAGCTGGCTAAATTATTAGCAAATATTATGCGAATTTAGTATCGACTGGAAACCGTTAGCGTAGCGGCGTTAAACCTTCTTAAGCAAAGTGTAAACAACATCAACTAATCAGCAGCGAACGTCCTTGTGCCGCCGCATGCAACATGGGGCGGACAGGCCAGTCAACCGAGCAATAATGCAGAGTTTAATATGTACATATAAACATACATATGTACATATATATGCGGGTGGGTATGTGTGCGAATTAGCTTTGGCAGCAGACGCACACCCGCGTAGACGAGTTTGGAAATGTAGGTGCTGATAGTTGTTGCTGCTGTTGTATGAGTAGTGAACGAACATTTATGCCCAAAGCGGCCCAGTTATGTGGACAAGCGGCAACATTTGCATAATATGCATATTTCCACTTGTACATAAGTGTGTGAGTGTGTGCGCTGTGGTTGCATAATATAGCTTAGTGAATTCTTAAATGTTAATTTGCATGTTGCCACACCACAAAAAGTTTAAATAAAAAAAAATTGGTACTTTCAATTTGCTTAAGCATTTCTTACAAAAAAAAAATTAATCAACAACAATGTATGTGATGCAGGGAAATTTAACGAAACATTTTTGAACGTTTGGCAACCCTGCTGACTTCTGCCATTGCCCTCACTGTGTGATAACAAACGCAACCAAAGTCAACACTGTTGTAACCAAATTGCATGTGACGACTTTGATTGCTGTAAGTTGCCTTCTTGTTTTTGTCGTTGTTACTGTCTGTTGCAATTGTCTAGCGCCGCAATCTAGTGTCAATAGCTGTTGCTGATGCTTCGTGTTGTTAACGCCAATGTTATTGCCCCGAATGTTGTTGTTTTGTCGTTGTTGCGTGTCACGCTTTTTGACAGTGGGTCAAAATGTTGAGTGCAAATGCCGTTGCCATTATGACATGTTGCAACATTATGGCGATTTTCGAAATAATTTTGGTAGAACATTACTACGGTTAGTGAAGGATTAACGAATGGTAGTTGTTGTCATTTATTTGGACTTGCTTAATTGTGATATTCGGAACAATGAAAACTTTATCACTCTTTTCTCATATTTCTATCCCATCCCATTTAGTAGCATCTCAAAGCGCCGACAACAGACGACATGTTGTTCCATTTGCTCTTGTCATGATTTCCGGTCGATCTCAAATTAGGTATAACATTCTTATTATTTAAGTTCTGATTTAATATCAATTGGCAATTAAAAACTAGTGGAAGATTAGGGTATGACATTTGAATAATACTCTTTTGATTTTCATGAAGAAATAGTAAAAAAATACGTCAATGACAGCTATTACACTGGAGCATCTCGGAAAAATGTTAAGTAATTTGCGGTGCCGCTCATAACTCGATGCTGGTTGACCAGAAAAATAAAATAAAAATTATATCGCTTTGCTAAGGCAACACTTGTAAAAGCTGTTTTTGAAATACTGCTTCAAAGGCTTAGGATAGAGATAAAAAATGAATGATCAAAATTTTATTGTTGAATAGATATCATTCATAGATTGGTTATACTCATATTTTGGTCAAGGCTGTAAAAAGCCTGGTGTGACTTTAAATTTCAAATTTAGAAAGCAATTAACCAAAGTTAAAATAAAAC